CCCCCGGGCAACGGCGCAGCCTGGGACAGCACTTGTGGGAAAGCACAATCATGAAAGCTGTGCGCGATGCAGTGCGTTGCGGCTGCGAGTGCTTACACTAGGTGCCGCGTGTGATCTCCTCTTCATCCTGCCACCATGCCTGCCATCGCCGCAGTGCCATATGGTGGGGCTGCTACGGCGGCTGGCAGTCGCTCATTTGGCTGTGGTTGCACCCGGAGCTCGCTGCGCACGACCGCAGCAGCACCAGCAGCAGCACCAGCAGCAGCAGCAGCAGCAGTGGTGCAGGCGGCGGCACTGGGCCGTCCCCAGACTCTGGCGAAACCACCGGCGAGATCATCGCGGTCCAGACCGCCGCCGCCGCGCTGGCAGGCGCCTGCTCTGCGGTGCTCACGACGCCGCTGGACGTCTTGAAAACCCGCCTCCAGGTCAGCGGCGGCACGATGGGCGGCGCCCCTGGCGGCGTGGCGGCGGGGGACGCGGCTGCGGCAGGGCGGGGTGGCGGCAATGCCAGCTGGACGGGAATCCTCCGGGAGCTTCTGCGGGAAGAGGGTGCGCGGGGCCTGTGGCGCGGCCTCGCGCCCCGCATGGCGAGCTCCAGCATATTCGGCATCTGCATGACCGGCACATACATGCAGCTGAAGCGGTGGTGCGCGGTGCCGGAGTAATGCGCATGTCAGCAGGAGAGGGTGGTCAGCAAGACGGTCGGGTGGCGGCGGTCACACCCGCACGGCAGAGGTGACAGAAGCCCGGCCGGGATGGTTTGGGGGCAGTTCCAGCAGCCGCGGGCGTTGGAGTGCATAGCAGGGGGGAGGCACAAGGCAAGCATCCTGCCACGCACCACGAGGCGCAGCCAAAGCTGCTCATTGGGCACACCGCAGTGCATTTGACCGGTCGCGACCCCAAATTAGTCCCCTAGCTCGCTGCTGTTGACCCAATGTGCGAAAGCAATTGCCGGTCCTGAAGAGCCATGCAGTCCTACTACTTACCTCACAGCGGGCTGCTGTACGCACTTGCAACGCCCTGCAAGCATCACCAGCGGAGCCACCCGGCTGCCGTTCCTTGCGTGAGGTCTTCCAGCTAAGCAAGGTGCCTTGCTGGTCAGTGCGCACGGCCCGACCACGCATTCGAGCATACGGTATGCTCCCTGGGAAAAGACTAGTACCCCTACAAGATATTATGCACCTGTTGCGGCGCGCGGCCACTCGAACCGGCATGATCGCTGCAGCGCGCTGGTACCGCAGCCGGCCCGATGGTAATCTGGCAGCTGCGCACTGCATGTCGCACAACGCCGTTGCGCGCTGAGTGCCCAGTCGATCCCAGATGGTTGCAAGGCTTTGCATGAACCCACAGCCAGCGGAACTTTGATAAATCACCCTCGAGGGATTGCTCTTGCATTGTGGCCGTCGAGGCCTTCACCTGTGAAACGGCAGCTATAACGTAGGGAGCTTGACTCTTGGGAGGATTTGCACGCCTACACTTGCGGCAGCGTGCGGTCCTGCCGAGATCCTAGCAGCACAACAGTGCCAATCATGGTGTCCCGGGCAGCAGCGCTGCTGCTGCTGCTCTTAGGCCCGCTTGGTCAGACGCTGGTGGTGCCCTCAGCGCTGCTCCTTCTAGCCTTGCCTCAGGGGGCGCTCGCGTTCTACTTGCCGGGAGTTGCTCCACAGGACTTCAAGAAGGTGGGCCAGGCGGGGGCACACGCGGCGTGGGAGCAATAAGGGCAATATCATTGCAATATGAGGGGCTTCTGAGGCGGGAGAAGTGGAGAGCACATGCGATCTGGGCGCATTGTTGGGCCCCATCCTCGTCTGATGGCGCCCTGATCACCCTGATGAAGCATTATGCTGAAACTGCAGCGCTGTATGGGATCCAGCTGAGCTGCGGGAGGCGCAGCGCCGCTGTGGCGGTGCGCTGCGTCGAGTCCGCGCACACCTCGTGAGGCACCCCCTGTTGCGACGCGCCGCCTGGGGTGCCGCACCGTCTGCGCCCCCGATCGGCCTGCGCAGAAAGACCCCATCACCCTCAAGGTGAACAAGCTGTCCTCGGTGAAGACGCAGCTGCCGTATGAGTACTACTCGCTGCCCTACTGCCGGCCAGAGAAGATCGTGCCGTTTGCAGAAAACCTGGGCGAGGTGTTGCGCGGCGACCGGATCGAAAACTCCCTATACCAGGTGAGCCGGGATTCCCATGGCCTTGGGGAATAGCGCTCAGATGACACACTATATTGGTTCGCAGCAGCCGCGGTCTGGCTTGGCCCCGTACGTCCGCCTGATTGCCCGCTTGCAACCGCCCGCGCCGCAGCTGTCCATGCGCCAGGACGAGCAGTGCAAGGTGCTGTGCCGCATCCAAGCGCTCAGCGCGGCTCAGGCCAAGGCGTTTGTTGACAAGATCGCGGATGACTACAAAGTCAACATGTGAGTGGCGGTGCGGAGCCAGCTGGCGCCCGCAGCCCCGGGCGTGTCGCACCTGGTATCACACTCATGGATGCAGCGGGCAGGTGCAGGGGCCGGCGGTGCCACAGCGGCGCCTGGCCAGTGGACTCGACGGCAGCGGCGAAGCGGCCCCGAGAGGCTGCGTCCCGCGGCGGACCGGGCCCATGGGGGGCAGGGCGACCGGTCCGGCTGCCGCTTGTCTGGTTTCCCGCTCGCTCGTTCTAGCCGATCGGCGTGCTTGCCTTGGTGTGCCGCAGGATCATGGACAACCTGCCTGTGGCGATGGTCAAGACGCGCAAGAATGAGAAGGGGGAGCCCATCAAGGCGTACGAGAGGGGATACCACGTCGGGTTCCCCGCGCAGCTGGAGGTGGGCAGGGCCGCTGTGGGCTGCAAAGGGGGGCGGCGCTGCGGCAGAGGAGAGGCGGCCTGCGCTCCGCCACTCGGCGTGTTGGGGCGGGATGCAGGACGGGGAATGCGTGCCGCAGGTGGCACTGGCCCCTTCCCGAGCGCCTCGCCGCAGCGC